ATTTAACATTAACTGTGGTAGTGGTATGATTGGAAGTTAAAGTAATAAGCAGGGATGTGAATTGAATGCACTAAAAAATTTTTAAATATGCACTAAAATTATTTGATAAAATGCTATATAAAAAAAGCCATTATTAAAAACCATTGAAATTAATAAATACAAATTATAAATGGCTTACAAAAAAAAAATTCTTTATTCACATACTAGCTAAGTATCATTATTTTTTTAATTTGTAAAAAATTATGAATGTATATTATAGTAAATTTAGACCTGATTTACAGATAAATACAATTTTTTTTAAGAAAATAATCATAAATAAAAAACATCATAAAAACTTTCAATTATAAAAATGCCTTAACCCAAAATATAGACATGGGATTTTGTATTTGTATAAAAAAAATAAATGTTAAATTTACATATTACTAGTTAGGTGGCCAAGAAAACAAAATAAAAATAAAAATCCAGCTTTCGTGGAATTAGTTCCGAACTATTTTCTAATTTGACTTTGATAATACTATAATTAGTGTAAAAAAAAATCTATATTGAAATTAATGTACAATAGTCATAAATTGTAATAATAATGTTTAAATGCATAATATATTATAACAAATGTTTAAATGTACACAGCAGACCACATATTTATTGGCTGCACAATATTCTGTACGTCACACAGTCTCTCTTTAAAATTATCCCGTCTACAAAATATAAATCATTTGTAAATCTAAAGACTTAATTGAGTACCTAAAAGATAATTGTTCTAAAAGAGCGACGTGCCCTGTCGCCAGCTCACTAAGTGGAGAGACATTAGTACAAGATTTGTATTAACGTCAATACTTAGTATCGACCAAAAATATTATGTGAGAAATAAAAAACTAATGTTTCAAGTAACGGATAATCATATTCTTTGGCTTAGTGTGAATATCTGGACATTATAATTGCGGAAAGGTGTTAAGTGTACGTATCGGCCGCTGTTACTAGATCCCGGATGGGTGACCACCCAGCATTTTTAGCAACAAATAGTTGCCACACATACTAACGTGTTTTAACCAACCGTTACTACTCACTACAAACAACCTAGAAGCAAAAAAACAATCTAATGGTCAAAGTTGCTGGGCTCAAGCTCAAGCTCAAGCTCAAAAAAAAAAAAATCATTCAAAAAAAAAAGGTGTTAAGTGTACGTATCGGCCGCTGTTACTAGATCCCGGATGGGTGACCACCCGGCATTTTTAGTAACAAATAGTTGCCACACATACTAACGTGTTTTAACCAACCGTTACTACTCACTACAAACAACCTACAAGCAAAAAAACAATCTAATGGTCAAAGTTGCTGGGCTCAAGCTCAAAAAAAAAAAAATCATTAAAAAAAAAAACTTATTACGAAATGTACAATACTAATAAGTTATATTAGATAGACGTGCGCGGTCGTCTGATTAGGTTAGATCAAAAATAGTATTTATATCATTTCTTATATTAAGTCATAACTTATATAATAACTAAAATATCATAAAGTAGCCAACGTACTTCGCTACGTAGTACGCGTTGGCTACTTCATGAGTCAATACAGATCCGCATAATTTTTTTATTAGGCAATAAGCCCGCCCCTAGACCCCCCCCTCATCCCCCAATAGCGCCTATGATATTACCTCGCGTGAGTCAAAGATGGAAAGAAATAGTGCACTGACATCCCAACCGGCAACCAACCGATCTTTTTATTCTATCCCATAAGTCTAGGTTGTAAACCTACCGCTGGTAGTTTCAGCCAAAGAGTCGAGTGGCCTTTGCAATTCGAGATCCTTTCCTACGTATTTCGGTATTGTCAACCTAACTATTCTACCTTCACACTTTTTCTTCCCCCTTCTCACACAACTATACAGGTTCAGCCACCCTCTTTTCCTGCACCTCCATAATATCATCTGTTCTACACATCACTTATCTTCAGTCTTCTCACCTCTCACTTTCCCCCTACATTTACCTACATCTGTTAGCTTCTCTCACTACCTCTTATCATACAGTGAATGAACCACCTCAACCTAGTATCTCCTGTTTTCACTTAAATGTATATGTCACTCCTACACTACATTTATTTAATCAATATCTTATTCTATACTCTTTTGTCCCTTTCACACTCAACTTGACATTCTCATATCTGCTACTCTCGTTCCACTTACCTACCCTAACCTAACATTTCTTTTTCACATTACCCTTTCATACTCCAAACATTCTGAAATCCTGTTTAACCTGTTTCCTTATCTTCGCCATATCATACACTTCCTAATTCCTATTCACTCAGTCTCTAGTTACCTACAAGTTATCGTACTTGATTATCGGTGAAAATATTTAAATAATTGAACGAATTATCTACTCAAAAGAATAATTAGTACCTACATACCAAAAAATATCATAACTATCAAGGTATTCGATATTGTAAACATAACAATGAAAGAAAATATTTAAATAATGGTTATTTAAGGTTAGGTCAGGAGAAGAGAGGAAATTAGACGTTATCTAATTATCATAGTTTTTAACACGGTCTTAAAGAAGACTGCCAGCTAGAGTTGTACCAGTATAATTAAATACTTAAATACAGCCAACTTTAATTAATGATTTTTTTACGTCAACGAACTAATAATAATATGTATTTTAAAATATAATAAAATATAATTTTATTAGGTTTTTATGAGATTTTAAATACTTATTAGTTTTTAAATATAAAATGTATAACTTAATATTATTTTAAATTAAACATTATTTTATATGTCCTTCATAAATTACAATCACATGGTAGAGTCCATAAAGGACATTTTTCTCATTTAATTATTTTGCATCCTTAATAAATTACATTCATTTTTATACATTTTCTAATACATATATTACAGTGATACACCTCTGATCATAATAACTATTCGTTTATTATAATTTAAGCAATACCTAGTTTTTGGGTTGTAGTTAAAATGTACCTTCCAGCGTATTCTTTTGTTTAGTGTTAATTCACATGGGTTCCTCATAGTCTAATTTTTTTGATTCATTTTACTCTAGTAGATACTTTTGTACAAACGTTTTTAAGCATTAACCGATTTTACCATGGAAAACACTTAGTACCTGCATACTTACTTTAGAAAAGAAGATTTTTAATTTCTCTCACGAGCACCATTCAATACATTTGTTTTTTATTTATTTATTATCATTCTTTAATGAGCTAAACATTGTCAGTTGTTTTTTCGGTTTAAGATTCTGGACATTTTAGTTTGAACCCTTCAATATGTGTTCCTATTGTATGATTTTTTCTAATTTTTTTTTTTGTTTTTTTAAATTCATTTGCCTGCGGGCGCCAACCCTCCCCTTCAATTTTTTTTTAGGAATTTGACTCTAGTTGAATTTTTTGTATAGACTTGAATATTGTTAACAAGCAGGTGCCCTCTGTATCATCATTCCTTAATGAGCTAATCATTGGCAATATTGTTTTTTCTGTTTAAGATTCTGGACATTTTAGTCTGAACTCTTTAATGTGTTTTCCTACTGTATAATTTTTTCAAAATTTTTTTTTGGTTTTCTTAAATGCATTTGCCTGCGGGCGCCAACAGTCCCCTTCAATTTTTTTTTTAGGAATTTGACTAGTTGAATTTTTTGTATAGACTTGAATATTGATAACCTGCAGGTGCCCACTGTATTAACATTCATAAACTAGCTAGGTAATCATTGTGGATTGTTTTTTCTGTTTATGAATCTGAAGATTGTAGTTAGAACTCATTGATATGTGTTCTGATTGTATATTTTTTTCTACATTTTTTTTTTGTTTTTCTTAAATTCATTTGCCTGCGGGCGCCAACCCTCCCCTTCAATTTTTTTTTAGAAATTTGACTCTAGTTGAATTTTTTGCCCAGACATGTTTATTGATGACATGCAGGTGCAATCTGTATTATCATTCTTTAATGGGCTAATCATCGTCAGTTGTTTTTTCTGTTTATGAATCTGGACGTTTTAGTTTGAACTCTTTAATGTGTTTTCCTACTGTATAACTTTCTCTAAATTTTACATTGGCTACATTGGAATCGTTTCCGATCCGATCCGATAATCCGACTAGTCGGAAGAAAAACAAACTATGTATAATTTCGGTAGTGGCTATATTTATCCGTTCCGACCGTTTCCGACGTACCGACTAGTCGGATACGTCGGTTTTAAAACAAATTGATTTGTTTTTCATCCGACGAGTCGGACAAAATAAAGTTTTTTTTGATTAAATTGTAATCAAAATACCAAACCAAAAATAAATCTAAAATTGATTACTACCATATTTATTGTTTTTATTGTGTATGAGTGTGCACATGCAGGTCACGACATGTACCCTTACGTGTACTTGTTGTCTTATCGTGCCTGACATTTGTGATTTGTCAATTGTGTCTGCAGTGTGTTCGATAATTTTGTTAAACTAAATAAATTAAAATTAAAATTGTAATATTAAAAGTAAAATAACTTAATAAATTTAATAAATTTAAATTTAATTATGGAATACGATAAAGAGCGCCTAATTGAAATTGTTCACTCAAAACCAGCATTGTGGGACAAAAGGACATCACAATATCAAAACAGAAAGAATGGAAAGAGGTCAATGAAATATTGAGTGGTAAGTCAAATATTATTTTATATAATATTAACATATTTATTATATTGAAACATTTGAAACTTAATTATTTTTTTCATCATACCTATATATAAAAGGAATACAAATTAATAATAGATAGTACATATTAAAGTAGTATTATAGTAGTATATACCTAATATAATATTGTAACATATACTAGTAATACTGTTAAAACATTATTTACTAATTTATTTATCATAGATATATTGTTATTATTTATCCACGATAGATTGTTATCATTTTCTCCAACAAATTGATATCTTCTTATGTATAAATTTTACAGTGTAAAATATATCATGGACCATGACTAAACTTATTATTTAATTACTTTTTTTTCCATAACAACAAATTTATTGAAATTAAATTTTTCCAATTGGACTGTTAAAATATGATTTCAATGTATCTCTAAGTTGTTTTGCATCATTTGAATATCTATTAAGACTTTTTCGTGAAATATTTGTAATTTCTTGATTTTTTTTTTGAAATTCGAAACTTTCCATTGCTTCTTCTATTGCCATCGCGTTAGGGCTTCCATCTAAATCTATTATAATGTTATGCAGTAAAGTTATGGCTTTGGCAATGTTTTCTGCTTTTTCAATTTTAGTTTCGATAGGTTTGTATAATAGTCTCCACTTGGTACACATTATTCCAAACGCACATTCGACACAACGTCTACAACGTGAAAGTCTATAATTAAATATCATTTCTTCATGTGTCAGTTGTCGCTTTGAATATGGCTTCAAAATATATTCTTTTAAAGGATAGGCGTCATCAGCAAGCATTACATATGGCATATCAATTTCGGTATCTTTGATTTTTGTAGGAAGGGGTAATGAATTTTTGTAGTTATCCAGTATGTCATATAAATCTGAGGCTAAAAACGTACCACTATCACTCTGCTTACCGTAGGCTCCTACATCAACAAATATGAATTTGTAATTCGCATCTGCAACTCCTTGTAATACAATTGAATAATAGCCTTTGTAATTGAAAAACATACTGCCAGATTTTCTGGACACTTTACCCGTAGATGTTTTCCATCCAAGCAACCAACAACATGCGGAAAATTCCATAGTACTTCAAATGTTGATGATATTTTTAAATAGTCTCTTTATTGGGAATCGGCATATGTTTGGTAAAAAGTTGATTCCATATTGCAACACAAACATCTTCAACGATTTTACCAATGGTGTAATGATGTCGCTTAAATGAAAATTCTAAAGCTCGAAATGACATACCAGTTGACAAATATCTGAAATAAGTATTATAATTATATAATAATAATAATACATATTACTTATAATATTATTATAATACATATTTTGTACTAAATAATCGTACCTAGTTTGAGGGTCAGAAGACAGAAGTCAAAAGTCCCAGTAGTTTTCCAAATGTCATGTACATGCTTAAATTTTCAAAATACTTACATTTTTTTTGAGCTATTTATAGATAATTTAAATTTTAGATTTTAGAAATTGAAAATGTCTGTAAACAGCTCAAAATAAGTCAAAATATTTTGAAAACGGTATGGTGTATAGAATTTGCTCATATAAACATTCAGTCAAAATATTATCATTATTAAATAATAAAATTATAAATTTCGTAAAAAAATTGTATTTTGCGCAGACAACGAGGCAAAAGAGAAATGGGAAAACACTAGAGACATTTTTAGAAGAGAATTCAATAAGTCGATAAAATCATCGGGTCAAGGTACTGATGAGGCTTATAAGAGTAAGTGGCCGTATTATGAACGAATGTTGTTTTTAAAAGATGTGATGATGCCAAGAAAGACCTCATCAAATATTCAAAAAGATATAACGTTGATAGAAAACCATGATGATAGTGAAAATCCCGATGACCAAATTTAATCACTACCAGAAACACTTAAAAATTTAGATATTCCAAAACCAATCACTCCTTTTTCAAATAAACGTAAAACATTTCAAGAAGAAGCTTTGGAGGTAGAAAAAAAAATTTAACTTTTTGAGGCTCGTTTAGAAACACGTATTCAGAAAAATTTAAATAAAAATAACGAAACTGATGGTGAGTATCATTTTTTGATGAGTATTTTTCCCATGTTTAAAAAAATGAATGAAGTTGACAAAATAGATGCTAAAATGGAAATTTACGGTACATTAAAAAAATATATTAATACAAGTTCACAATCTCAAATCAATTCAAATAATTATTGCTCTACTTCTTCGTCATCGTATTATCAATCGCCTTCACCAGCCTCTTTAGAGTGGATGGCATCAGACTCAAGAACAAGCAGCATCAATTATACTTATATGGACACAATGCAAAGTCAATCATTTCAAAATAATTAATTTTTAGTTTTTAAGTTATTTTTTTTTTTTAATTTTGGTTTTGAATTATTTTAGAAGTAACAATTAATTTTTTTTTTAAAGAACAGATGTTATTATTATTTTTTTTTTTTTTGGTTTTGAATTATTTTAGAAGTAACAATTTATTTTTTTTAAAAGAACAGATGTTATAATTATTTTTTTTTTTTTTAGTTTTGAGTTATTTTAAAAGGAGTAAAAATTTGTTTTTTTAAAAACGAACAGATGTTATTTTTTTATTGAAATAATAAATTTAAGAGTTTTAATGTTGAAATTTTTACTTACCTTATTGTTATTGCAAGTTTTTCATCTGGTTGAATACACTCACGAAAATTACTATATTTTTTTATATCATTTGAAATATTATCCAATATGTAATCATACGTATGTATGCTCATTCGAAAATATTCTTTAAATTTTTCCGGGTATTCTCGAAGTTTAATACATGTTTGAAAATATTCTCCATTTTTATAATCTGTCAATAAATCGTGCACCCAGCAAGACCTTGGACTATTTAAGTACAAATTATAACTACTATCCAATAAATCATTCCATTCGTTTTCTGAGCCTGAAGCCCTGAACTGCTGGAACTTGAAAACATATTGTCTAAAAATTTTAAGTTGAAACAGCACCAAAACACGTGTTAACTGTAAGAGAAGGTACGTGCAAATAAAATAAAAGTCACAGCAGATGACCTGATGACAATATAATATTTGATTTTAGTCGGTACAAAATCGGATATGATGTAGCCACAAATATCGGACGAGTAGGATGTTGGTCGGATCGGATCGGAAACGATTCCAATGTAGCCGTAGCCAAGAGTCGTTACATTTATTTTGCCCCCGGCGTTTTTAACTCTTAATCCGTCGCTGATAATCGGCTCTATTAGCTGCACTCCTCTGCTTAAAGTGCTTAATGAATAAGCATTAAGACCACGTAGTGTGCTTTTATTGTGATTTGTGATGTAACTGCATCTAGTATCTAGGACCTAGGTATCACTAAAGTTAATGTTTAAGTGTAGGTACCTAAATGTGAATATCTAAATATTATGTTATTATTTATTTTAATGTATAGTGTATACCTACAATATTACATAGATACAGATCATAATGGTTGTATACTTGTATTGAGAGGTGCTTATTGCTTATATGATTAAAAAAAAAAAAAAAAATGTTGAGTGGGGAAATGTACATACATTTCATCCCTCCCCCCCCCCCACAACCATAAACCAAATTATGACACTAATGCCATCCAAGTATTTAAAAAGTCATATCTGCGTTGAAAGTAAAACTTAAACAATATACCTACAGCTGGCGAATGTCCCCTGCGAAAAAAAAATAGTTAGACAAAGTACAGCGTTTGTAAAATATTGGCTTTGATTATAAAAATAGAACAACCAATGAATATTTACAAGGAATAGTATTTAATTTCCAATATTGCAAATATAATATTTTACAATTAAAATTAATGTGATATCTAGAACAGCACGAGAAAAACAAATTGCGATAAAAAGTATTAATGTCCAAGGTTTTGACCGAAACAATTTTTGTGTTCAAGGTTTTGACGGTAAAAATTTTTTTGTTCAAGATTTTGACGTTCAGAGCTTTGATGGAAACTACTTTTTTGTTCAAGATTTTGACGTTCAAAGGTTTGACGAAAACTATTTTTTTGTTCAAGATTTCGACGTTCAAGGTTTGATGTTCAAGTTTTTGAATGTTCAAGATTTTATCGTTCAATATTTTGACGTTCAATTGTTTGACATTCAATGTTTTGAAGGCCTCCCAAAATTTTTATAAAATATTAAGTGTTCAGACATTCACAAATGTTATGAATATATTATGCTTAAAATGTTATATACATTATTATTTATATTATTGGTACTAGAATATTATTACTTTTTTGAGATGTTGATCAAGGTTAGTGTAAAAATATAAATTACACTTAAGTAAACGGGGTCTGTGAAGAAAATTAACCGATAGTGTTATACAGTTCATTATAGTACATCATATAGTCAGAGTTGTCTATCATAAAGTACTATTAATTTTATGTGTCTATTAAATATGCATTTATTATATTGGTATGATTGGTAGTAATTTGTTTTGAATTTAGCAATATAACTTCAGTAATATTTGTACGAGATAAATATTTCAATTTTAATGACATTGAACATAAACAATAACGTATAATGATTTATTTCCATATTTAATTATTCAAATAATGAATCGTTAATTATGTAAGATTGTTTATTTAAGTTCAACAAGTTGACATGTATGGCGTAGAGTCTAGGAGAATAATAATGAATAATAAATTAACAATCTTATATAATGTTTACGGCTTACCTGAAACTACCTAAACACATAAATAATACATAAGTATATAGTTTAATATGTTATTACTTTTTGTCTTACTAGTTACTATGTTAAGACTCATAAGTCATAATCGACACAATCTAAATACCACATTACCACTGCCTAATAAATATACTAAGTAAAGTAGTACACAATATGATTGGAAATTTATGTCATTATATTATATTCAGTTGCAAGGCCATATCCAGAAATTTTTTTCGGAGGTGGGTCCAAAACATGTATATTGTAATTTTATTGAATTTATATGTTTTGATATTTGGTTAAAAATAAGATATGTTGAAAACATTTTGGGGTGGGGTGGGGGGTAACTACCCCCCCCCCCACCATCCCCATAGGTACGGCAATGGTCAGTCGTGAAATTGTATTTGTATATATTATAATAATATGATGTTAAAAATTTAAATATTTTTAAATTCAGCGGCCTGCGATAATGTTAATTGTTGTTTATTCCAAGCCAAACTGATATGATATTTTCATCCATGAAAGTGATATAAACCGTTTTTTTTCTAGTGATATAAAACATTTTTATTTACTGTCTGGTGAAGACTAGAGATATAAGTACTATATAAGAGTGGTCACTATAAGTGGGTCACTGTATAATCAATGGTATAACATTTGAATTCAATGATATAATATCATTGTATAAGAAAAATGAAGGCATAATAATTAATATTATATACTAATATACTAATCTATGGTATTGAAAAAATTGACTTATAATAGATACCTATAATAAATTCCAAATTAATCATATCACAATATTTATTAGGTACTTATAACGCGTTATACATCAACAACAAACTGTTATACTATCATAGATAAATACTAGTATACTTTAGAAGTTTCAAGTACCCATGAATAATTGTATACAGTTAGGTATTCTCGGTTTTTAATATGTAATTTCGTCCAAATTTGAACTTAAAATGACTATAAAAATAAACTGTGTCTAGTTATGTATTTTTTTAGATTTCTTGGTAACAGAATTAACATTAACTACCACTTACGTGGAATCTTAATTTAAATTTTCAATCCTTAGATATAAAAGTTGAATATTTTATACATTTTTAACTACAAAATAATTATTAAATTTTAAATTTGATAAATTTTGTCAAAATTCGATCTTTAAATGTTTATAAAAAAAAAATTGTGCCTGTGTATTTTTAATATTTTTCAACTGCTATTGTAACAATATATCAGGAGCCTTGTATTAAATATTTACACTTTTTGGCCCAACAGATAAAACTTTATTGATATTCATAAAAAAAACTAATAAAAAAAATTGAAATATTAAATTGTCCGTAAACAGCTCAAAACATGTCCAAATATTTTGAAAATTTTTTTAAATATAAGAATTGATAAAATAAACTTTTAGTGAAATTTTCATGTATCTACAGTTGTTCGTTTTTGAATTACAACAAAATAAGAAAATCTCTACATAAGAACTCGAAAAATCCAATGTTATAAAAATTTGAATTTCAAACGCTCCAAAAAATTTAATTTTACTTTCTTAAAGATATTTTTTTTTTAATGAAGGTAGATAATCTTATAAGGAATCTTGTATTACATTTTAAAATCTTAGATTTAAAAAGAAAAAGGTTTACGAATTCTTAACTTAATATAATTTTAGTGATTTTTCCACATTTTGTCAATTTTTGAACTCTAAATGCTTATAAAAAAAACTGTGACTAAGGATTTTTAATATTTTTCAAACGTTATTGTAACAACATAGTAGGAGCCTTGCATTAAGTTTTCAAGTATTTTTACTCAACAAATAATATTTATTAACATTCATAGAAAAAAAAACTAATAAAATTGGAAACTGAAAATGTCTCTAAACAGTTCAAAACATATCAAAATATTTTGAAAATTGTATTGTGTATAGAAAATGCAAATATAAACAACCAGTTGAACTTGCATGTATCTACGGTCATTTGTTTTAAAGTTACACCATAAACCAAAATCGATTTTTTGGAAAACCGATTTTGCGTAAAAATTCCCGTTTTTCCTTAATTTTTATTTTGTTTTTCCCGGCGCTTTTGAAAACTACTGGGAAATTCAAATTTTGACTTCCCCAATGCACCAACAATATTCACTTTCTCATCGAACAAGATAATGAAGTGGAAAATCGAAGCATTATTTCGACTACTTATCGTGTACACACACACACACACACACACACACACACACACACACACACACACACACACACACACACAAAATTACACATCATTGTAAAATTTATACATTCATCGTTCCACTTAGAATCTAAAATATTGAATATTAATCAAATAAACATTTTAAAAAGCAGAAAATAAGTACTGCACACTTTTAAATTTTTTACTGCACATTTAATATTATAGCTACTGCATATAGTGTGTGCTACTGCACACAATTTTAGGCCCTGGTTCCACCTTTTCTGCTCCTACTTTGATTAATGCAGGCGTACCACAATGTGCAGTCACAGCTCCCCTCCTATTTAACATATTCTGATCAACCTTCTTCCCTCCATACTCTTGTCGGTGACTTTGCCGACGATAAAGCTATCTTAGCATCTAGTTCTGATCCTCATCTAGCCTCTAGCTATATTCAGGACCATCTACATCTTCTCCAAGCCTG